TCCTGACAACTGGTCTCTCCGAAGGGCTCGACGACACGTTAACAACAACGCCAATTGCATTTATAGAGCGCCTTTCACGTCCCAAGGCGCTGGACAGTTAGGTCGGTACCCCCGAGCAGGGGGGTCAGGGTGAGGGAAGGAAGGGAGCGAGGAGGGGGCAGAGAGTCAAGCCGAAGGCACGGTTGTTAAGACATATGTATAAATCTTCGAGAAATAAATATGGTCAGGTTATTGACAACGGCGTGGCTTAAATTGGTAGTAACAAGTTAAAACAGGGTCGAGTTACCAGGAGTAACAAGACAAGGAGGTCGAACCATCACCTTTGCCCTTTCCCAAGACCTTCCACAAGCGATTCCCAGCAAATCCCCCCAGAACATCCTATGTCGGGGATCTCCCTTGGGCACTTGCCCACCCCCCCGTGCGGAGATATAATTGTGGCATTCCCTTTCTTGCTCCCGATGACTCCAGGTCAGAATTCTGAGCCAAAAGGGTCAAGTCTTGAGTTTGACCTCAGGCACTTATGAAGAACGTTCCGCCGTCCTCTACGAGACAGTATCTAACACTGAATTAATTAAATAAACAGCTGGAACATTCCATCCGGAGCAGCCCCCGGACTGTCTCGTGAGAGCCAACTTTCTACAGTTGAACGTCAACGATACCGAAGCTCTCCTGATTCGCTCCCATCAGCGCCTCCGTACCTCAGACGCTGACAGCATCACCATCCATGGTTGTACACTCCACCTCGCTGAGCCAGTCCCGAACCTTGGGGTCTTGTTTGACCCTCAACTATCCTTTCTACCACATTCGCGCCATGACCCGCTCTGCCTTCCCCCCCACCTCCACACCATTGCCCGGCTCCGACACCATCTCACACCGCACGCCCCCGAGACCCTCATACACACCTTCAGTACATCGAGGCTCGACTATGCAAACTCACTGCTTGTCGGCCTCCCCCACTCATCCCTCCACAGGGATCATCCAGAACCCTCTGTGTCCTCTCCCGCACCAGGCTCCGTGAGCCTATCACCCCCATCCTCATCCAACTCCACCGGCTTCCCATCACACAGAGCATACAGTTCAAGATCCTGGTCCTCACCTTCAAAGCTCCTCATGGTTTTGCTCCTCCCGACCTCTCCAACCTCCTAACCCCCTACCGCTCTGTTCCCTCCCTCTGCTCAGCGGGATCTGGTCTGCTTCACGTCCCCCGCCTGGCTCTCCCCACTATCGGCGGGCGGGTCTTCCGCCACTCTGCACACACCCTCTGGAACTCCATCGGGCAGTCCCTCCGTCTCGTCCCCTCCCTTGCCACCTTCAAGAACCATCTCAAGACCCTCTTCTTCGACTGTGCTGTGCTTTCGATCTCCCTGCTTCCCCCACCCTGGACTCCCCCCACACTGTGTGTGCATCGTCCTGGAGCTCAGCGGTTAGAGCACTCGCCTCACAAGCGAGAGACCTGGGTTCGATTCCCGGCCGGGAGTCAAACTTTGGGCAAGTTACCTTAACTCCCCACACACGCCTGATAATAATCCCTCAAGAAAAAAAAAACTATAATAAATTGGTCACTTCAACCCACGGCTGTTTGTGGGGACACTGCTGTCCGCAATGGGCCTGCCGCGTTTCGCTCACAAATTACACAGTCAATTCCCTTTACAGTGTATCCTGTGAAGCGCTTTGAGACGTCTCGAAGATGCAATAAGGCTCTGTATCAAATGCAATATTATTATTGGGGCTGTGTGTGTGTGTGCAGGGATAGTGGTGCAGAAGTGTTGTGTGTGCGGGTGTTGTGTGTGCGGGTGTGGGGGGTTCGTGTGTGTGCGGGGGGCTAGGGTGGGGAGGGGGCTGCGGTGTGTGCAAGGGTGGGGTGGGGGGACAGGGTTGCGCACAGGGGTGGCTTCATTGCCAGTGGTGCAATCACTGGCTGTCTTTACCAGATCGTGGGCACTTCCCTCCCTCCCCCCCCCCACCACCCCCTCCGCCCTCTGGTCTCACCACCTCACCTTTGTAACTGATGTTTGTGGGAGCTTCTTGGTCTCGTGGCTCCCCCTCACGGACATCTCCAGTAATGAGGGGAAGTGGGGTTGTTCAATCCCTGCCTCTCTCTCTCTCTCTCTCTCTCTGCCCCGGAGCAGGATCCGAACCGGCTCTGAGCCACGTGAAACAGTGGAAATAACACATGGCTCCGGACTGGGGCCGTTTTCAATCAGCCACAACCACCTCACGCCCGGAGGCACGTCCCGGAGACACCGTATAGCACACAACGCACGCGACGGGAGAAATAATGGAGCGGTTTGATTTTCCCCCACAACCTTCAGCAACTACACCCCTCACTTCTGGAACTCCCTCCTCCTTACCCACGGTCTTGCTTGCACACCCCATCTCTACCCACCTTTAAATCCCACCTATCCCTTCGACCGCCCCCCCCCCCACCACGCGCATTACCCCGCTCTGCGCCCAAAACTAACCCTCGTGGCAAAGCGCTCCGAGACATTATACTTGGGCCAAGGGATCTTTGCATAAGACGCAAATTGCTGCTTGGTTTGAGGTGTTGACCAAAAAAAAAAAAAAATGGTTACGCACAAATTTCCAACCCACATTCTTTGTTCAATCTATTTGTTTCCTTGACAGAAAAACTGACGAGAGAGAGAGAGAGAGAGACACAGAGGTGGTGGTGGGGTGGGGGGGGGGGGGGGGGGAAGGGGAGTGAAGAGAAAAGAGTTTCATTCTCAGAACAGCAAAACATTCATAATGTAAAAACCCTTCAAATTTCATCGGCCTTTTTGGAGAGTTCCAGGAACCGAAGTTTTGTGGTTTGAATGACGCATATGTACTTGTGAAAGTACAGTTATATTGCAGCAACTTTGAAGTGTTTTGACACTTGTTCGAAGCAGGACAGAAGAATTGTCCCATTCTGAGTTGAACGGGACACGATCAACTGCTCATTGCCGTTACTGTACTGACAATAAGCGGCTCTGACAGTAATTACCTTTTGATGCACTTCGACGCGATAAGTTCCTTATCGTTCAGGGGTTCAAGAGGATTGATAAAAGATATATGCGCGCGTGTGCGTGTGCGTGTGAGAGAGACAGAGCGAAATAGTTGGGGAGAAAACCTAACAATACGATGCGGTTCACAACTTATGTCGCTCCTTTCGCATTGAGGGGACATCCCAAAACGCCGCACAAGTCTGGGTGGGCAGGTGCAAAGCCCCGTTTATATGTAAATTGTGTTGCGTTGGGAAGCCTTCTGGTGTGAAAGGCGCCATACAGATTTAATTTCTTGTTGTCGTACGATAAGCCGAGGGCGGGGGAGGGAAAGATGACCGAAAGCCTGTCAAATTGCATTCGATTCTGACTACCGCGAGGGAAGTCTTTCCTTCCTCCCTCCCTGGAACAGGGGGGTTTTCGGCCCAAAATTGTTTGCGGTGTTCAAAAAAAAAAAGAACGGCTTGAAAAAAAAATATTTTTCTGACAACTTTCTCACTCTCGTATCTCATTCATTTCCGATAACAAGCGTTAAGAGTACGTCCAGCCCGACCCTGAGCGACGCTCCTCAACCCCCAAGCCTGCGCTTGGCTTGTTGGACAACGCGAGACGATTTACATTTGTACAGGGTCTTTCACATCCGGGGGGAACCTTCCGAAGCATTCGCATCGTGTTCCAACATCCAAGAGGATTGACCCCAGAGGCATTTTCTGTTAAGAAATTGTCCAAATTGGGCCCCGTAAACGCCCAGTGGTCCCTCTCCCCCCACTTTTTGTTTAGAACAGCTGCTTACAGGATGGCTTAACCTCATATCCTTATAGACTTTGTGTCAGAGAGACAAGTTTCCAATATCTGGGTTGGGGGGTGGGGCAGAGAAGGGAAAATCCCTGTCTAGATTCTTGTAAATACACCTGTGGTGCTTTGTGTAAATTGTCTCAGCGGAAGCTTTCAGACCTTTTATGGCCTCTCTCTTATTCGGGTTGAGATTGATGGTCCATTTCTCCGAATGATTTGAAGGCGTTGGTTTTGACTCAAGAACCTCGAAGCTGCCTTTCCTGGAACCAGGAGAAAATGCAACTCTGTGCAACTATTCGCTTCCTGTTCCAACCGCAGAGCAGATTAACGCCAACCCTGTGCCACCCAGCCTAACCACCATCAGTGCCACATAGCCTAACCACCACCAACACCCCATCTCCCTCCACCTCCTCCTCCTCTCACCACCACCACCACTATAACCCGCATGAAACCAACCACCTACTCTCTCAACCCCCAGCCCTACCCCTCTCCTTACCTCCCAGCTCCACCTCCTTGCCCGTCATCAGAAACTTCTCCCTCATGGGTACCATTCTCACCCCTTTAAAAGCAGCCGCCATCACTCCCATCCTTAAAAAGCCCTCCCTGGACCCATCCCTGCTCTCCAACTACCACCTCATCCCCTTTCCTCTCCAATGTCCTTGAATGAGCCATTGCTTCCCAGCTTCACTCCTTCCTCTCCCACCACTCCCTTCATGAACCCCTTCCAATCGGGTTTCTGTGCCGCCCACAACACAGAAACCGCCCTGATCCAAAGTGACATTCTGTCGATCTGCGACCGGGGCTCCCTCTGCCTCCTCGTCCTCTCTACTGCTTTCGACAGTCGACCACTCTATCCCCATCCACCGCCTCTCCTCTCACCTCAACAGTTGACCGTCAACAAGACCGAGGCTCTCCTGAATGGCTCCCGTCAGCGCCCCCACACCTCAAGCGCTGACAGCATCGCCACCCATGGTTGCACACTCCACCTTGCTAAGCCAGTCCCGAACCTTCGCGTCTCGTTTAACCCTCAACTATTCTTTCCATCCGTGCCATGACCCACTCTGCCTTCCCCCACCTCAAGCCAACATACTTCCGTCCCGCAGTTCAGAGTGAAATTCAGGAACCTCCTGAGAGAAGCGTCAGCTCAGGATATCACCCAGCGGCCCGGACCGGCAGGGATCTACAGAAAAACCGATCTGCTGAGAAAAACCGGGTGTTGACACCTTTATTGCAAAGCCACCTTTATTGATACCCAGTACAAAACAAAATTAACAAGCACAAGAGAAAGTGGCAGGGCAACGCGTATCTGCACTATGCAGAACTGTGAGCGATGAGGGACTTGTTTGAAAAGCGGCTTGCTGTTGACTAACCTGTTTTATTCTGTCAAGGGTGCTGGGGTGTAGCTGATTCCCACTGCTATCTCTGAACTCAGCCATCTACCATACACTTTGGAAATGATTTACACTTTGCGTGATTTCCCCCTCTTCCACCTGAAAATAAGACGCTCAGAAACAAAATGCTCGACTGTAAAACAACTGTTGACAGTGCAAGGCGCGACTTTTAATTTAAGGCTGTGGGGAAATCAGGGGATGGATCGAGATGGCAAAGGCGGGGTGTAGCTCAGTTACCCACCCACCCACACAGGCACACACAGACTCCCTCACAGAGCTCAGGGTAGCCACACGCTCGCCCAGTGAGAAGGTCCGTCACTCAACAACTGTGACGAGTCTCTGGGAAAAACACCCTGCGGACTGTGTGTGTAATGTCACAATGCAGCAGTAGATGGCCATTCCCACACTTGATGCAAAAATGGCCCCCACTAGGGGAGAGGGGGAATCTCTAGCCCTTTATTTCGGAGGCAAGCTTTTAAACTCCCACCGCAAGTCAATCAGCATAATCACAAAATCCAAGAGAAAGGAGGGGCTCAGGCCTGGGTTAGGGGGATAGAGGGGAGTAGTCCTGGGTTAGGTGGGAGGCAGAGGGGGACAGGCCTGGGTTAGTGAGGGGACAGAGGACCTCCTGTACCCACTAAGCGCGTAGAATATCTGTGAAGGATCTTTGCGAGGTATTAAACTGGGCCTTGCAATCAGTGCTAGGCCAAGCGTCCCCCTGAGGCTGACAATCCCATTACACGCTGGACAGTCAAACAAAACTAAATCCCAATGAGTTTTCCCCCCACGTGTTTACGGACATAAAACATGGCCCCGACATGCACACGGCAGAGGATACAAAAGGTCACACCCAGGAAATAGGGTTTCAATGGAAACAATAATCTCCTGTGGCTTTGGTCACACAGTGAATGAGAAGGTTGGAGGTTGCACCAGCCCCCCCCCCCGCCCCTCGTTCTTCCCTCCCCCTCGCATCCGAATGCCCCAAATAAACATCCCAGGCCCTTGACCCAGGCCGGCTGTAAAGAAAGAGTCTGTCACATTGATGCAGCACTGTTCCTGGAGGAGCAGGGAGCTGGACTCCCACTGGCCAGGCTCCATGCCCCCCCCCAAACCCCCTTCGAAGCTCTGCTCCTCTCCCACACCAGGCTCTGCCCTCCCCAGCCAGGATCCGTGCCCCACCCCCAACACCCACCTCAAGGCTCCACTCCCTCCCCACACCACATCAGGCTCCACACTCCCCAGCCAGGCTCTGCCCCCTGCCAGGCAGCGCCCCCACCCCACCCCCACCCCGGCTCCGGGCCATTAACCGCTCAGCAACTCCACGTAGTTGGCCGGGAACATCCCGAAGCTGCCGTCGCGGCCAAAGCCGCGCCACCAGCCCTCGTCAATCATCTCGATGTTGGTGATGATGTCGTCGGGGTCAAAGGAGATCTCGGTGTCATCGGCTGCCAACGGGGAAACACAGGGAGTCAGGGCCGGGGAGCCAGTGGAGGCTGGCGAGGGCTGGGGTGATGGGGTTTAGTGTGTGTGATAGGGAGCCAGTGGAGCCTGGCGAGGTCTGGGGTGATGGGGAACAGAGATTTGTGGAGGTGAGAATCTGGGCGGCGGAGTTCTGAATGAAGTGTATTTAGTATTTAGTGGAGCTGGGGAGGGCAGCGAGGAGGAGGGTTGGAATAGTCCAGCCGGGAAGTGACGAAGGAGTGGACGAGGGTTTTGGCTGTTGTGGGGCGGAGGCGGGTAAAAAAGCATTCCTGGTCAGGGAACGGAGGTGGGGGAGAAAGGAAGTTGACTCCTGAATTGCGCATAGGTTCGGAGAGCCTGAGGGAGAGCCAGGGGAGGTTGAGGAGTTCAGACCCGGGAAGACGTTGACGGGAGTGTATGGCTTCTGTCTTGCTGACATTCAGCTGCAGGAAATTTGCGCTCATTCAGGCCTTGATGTCCATCAGACAAGCTGACAGGACATCAGTGGACTGGGGAAGTAAATTTGAGTGACGTCATCTGCATACACGTTGAAATTGACCCCATGTCTGCAGGTGGCATCGCTGGGAGGGAGCATAATATAGATGAGGAAAAGAAGGGGGACAGGGATGGAGCTTTGGGGTACCCCACAGGTGACCGGGGTGGTGTTGGTGGGGGCGAGAGGAAAAAATATTGGCCGAGATGAAATGCTGGTGGTTGGTTAAGCAGGACTTGAAACAAACACAAAAAAAAGGCAGGGGTGCACAAGGGGAGGGGTGATAGGGGTGTAGAAGGGTAGAAGGATGCACGGGGGGGTGGGGGAACGAGAGAAGGAACAGTGTGAATGGGGAGATGCTGAGAATCACTGGTACCTACCAGCTTGGTAATCATACAGCGCCCGGGCACACAGCCCTTTGTCGTTCACCTGCTCCACCTGGGCAGATGTGGTGTTTATGCCGTCCGCAGTCACCTCTCCCCCAACCTGAGGGGAAGGTGGACAGATATGTGAGCTCTGTGTGCCCGGACATACAGTATGTTACAATCACCCCCTCCAGTGCATGAGTGTGTGTGAGTGAGAGTGCGTGTGCCTGTGAGTCTGAGTGTCTGTGTGAGAGTGAGTGTGTGTGCGAGAGTGTGTGAGAGAGGCAAGACCGTAACTCATGTCAAAAATATTTGAGATTAAACGTGGATCGGGTCATGTGGGGTGGAGGATTTTATTACTGTTTTATTACTAATTTACTTACCCTGATCTTTACTCCCCGCAGACAGGTGAAGGAGTGAAAGATGCCAGAAAAGGAATATGTGCCAATCACGTGAGCACGATTGCCAACTTCTTAAAGGTAAGCTGCGTTCGTCTCCTCCCAATTATTTTGATCTACCAGACCAAATATGGTCCAGTAGTTCTACTCCCAAACGAAGCACAGGTTACTGAGCCCATTGGAATTACATTTTCCAGTTTGACTCTGGGACCTCGCTTTGCCTGGAACTGAAGTGGAACTGAAGCCTCCTCTGTCTGGCAGTGAAAACTGTGTGAAGCGAATGTCAGCATGTTTTGCTCAATCTCACAGTCAGCATCAAGTTGCCTCTGTGACCGGTTGATGTGTAAAGGCGCTGACGGGTGTAGCACAGCAGTGACAGGCGCTGGGTTAGGTGTCTGGCTCAGTGCTGGTCCAACAAGCTGGGGGCGGGGGCTGCTGTGTAGAAGCGGTAGTTATTATAATAATAATCCTTACGTTTGCTACAGCGCCTTTCACGTCAGGTGATCATCTCAAAGCGCTTCACATGTTTTCACTGTAACGTGTAGTGACTGTGCGGGTCATAGGAACCGCAGCAGCAGCCAATTTGCGCAGAGCAACGCCTCTGTTATGGTGGATTTACACTTGTGTGGGCTAACACCTAAAAAGACTCGGCAGAGACAGAAAGCTGATCCTCCACAGGTCAGGGAACCACCTTAGCCTGGTGAGGATCGGGGGGAGAGAGAGAGAGAGAGAGAGCGATCAGGCTGTGGGATTGTAGAGGAGGCTGGAATTCTGTAGAAGTGCCGCTGTGTGAAGCAGAGGGATCAGGCTGAGGTGGATATCACTGACAGCCGTGACTCTCCTGCCCTCCAGGGAGCCCACGTGACCATTAACGCCCGGGGCGACGAGGATGTGGAGCCTGAGGTCATCATGGATAAAGTCGGCAAAGCCTCAGGGGCCAACTACAACTTCCACAAGGAGTCGTCTCGCTTCCAGGACACAGGCCCACAAGCTCCTGTGGTGAGTTCCAGCTAGTGCTGTGTGTGTGTGGGGAACCCTAACAGCAGCTTCCAGCAAAGAAACCCACTCCCCCGCACCCCGCCCTTCCTTGTCCCAGCGCTCCACTCGAGCACCAGCCTGGACTGCGAGCTCCCAAGTCCTGACGTGCAGATTGAGCCAATAACCTTCTTGAGCCGGACTGGTTGGTGAGGTGCTGAGCATCTCAGGCCTCTTCTGAGAGCTGCTCACACCAAGGGGTCAGATGTTTGCTTGGGTGGGGGGTGAAGAGCAGGTGGAGGTCACTTTGGGATTGTGAGTTTTGGTGGGTTGCTGCGCTGTGAGCTGTGGAGATGGCCTCACTGTTTGCTCTCCTTTGTTTCAGGGCTCGGTCTATCAGAAAGTGAACGCCATGTCTGAAATCCACAAAACTAACAAAGACAGCTTCTGGGCACAGCAGGAGGTAAGGTCAGGCCAAAGGGAGTGGTTTCAGAGGGTGTCTCACTGTGTACTGTTAGTTTCTCTCTCTCCCCTCTCTCTGTCTATCTATCTCTCCTCTCTCTCTCTCTCCCCTCTCGCTCTCTGTCACTCTCTACCCCCACTCTCTCCCTCTCTCTCTCCCTGTCTATCTCTCTCCCCCTCCTCTCTCTTCCCTGTCCCCGCTCCTCTCTTTTGCGACCTTCCTCCCTCATTCTCTCTCTCTCTCTCTCGCTGGCTCTCTGTTGCTAGTCGATTGGGTATGGAGGAAAATGGCAGCTAAATAGGACTGAAAACATTGCTGGTAAAGGGGCCGGCACAGGCTGCACGCACGCATGCACGCACCACACACACACACTCGCAGTGATCGCTTAGAATTCGAAGTTAGCACAGCAGACACCAGACGCTGCCCTTGACCGGTCCATTGTAACGCACACCCTGCCTTGGGAAGGTGACCATTTCAGGCCGGGGCTGACCTCATACAGTAAACTTCCTAAAAGTTCCTAAAACTTCTGCTTGTTTAATTTATGAACTTTTCTAGTTCCTCTCTAAAACTCTTTGCAGTTCCCTGTTCCTGCACCATATAAAGATTCCCCTGCTCGGCCTCTTGTTCCTGTATTGTAGCTGCGTTTACTCAACCCCACTCTTTCCCACCCCCCACACACACACACACTTACGTACATAGAAACACACTCACGTACAGACACACACTTACATACGTATACACATATATATATATATACACACGCAATTAATATATACAGACTCACACCTATACACACACACACACTTCCCCATTTTTCCTGGCAGAAAAAAAACAATGTAATGTAATCTTCCAAACCCTTCAATACATTATAGGGCATGTTGGGAGAATGTTCCCAAGCGTTAGCACTGCAGACTGGATACCTGAGCTGGGGTTGGGATCCGAGGTGAGGTGGGGAAAGACCGAAAGCGCAGGGTAAAAATTGGCTGCCACATTCATCCACAAAAAAAAACACAGCGATTTAATGTAAAATCTTGCCAAGCGCCATCAGAGGTCCTCCCAACTTCATTATTATTATTGTTACAATTCTGATGTTTGGGAACCGAGCTCCCGATTAACCACAAGATCTTCTCGAGGCAGAAAGATGAGGTGGTCCGGCGTGGCGACGAGAAGAAGAAAGCGGCTTTGGAACAGGAACGTTTGGAGAGGGAGCGGAAGGACAGGGAGCAGAAGGAGAACGAGAATCGGGAGCTCAAGTTCAAGGAAAGGTCCAGTCAGATCGAAGCCCAAAAGTGAGTCCACGTGCTACATGGTTTGTGCTCCCTACACAGCACTGGAGGAGAGGACTGAGAATTATCTTTGAGCGCATACGTGTTTGAAAACGTATCGGCACTGTGCTGGGGAGACTCATTAGTAGCCGGCCAGTAATCCCACAGCTCACTTTACACTTATAAGGTGTAGTGACTGTTTTTTTGTGTGTCAGCCTGGCTCAGTGATAGCGCCATCGCCTCTCGAGTCAGTAGGTTGTGGGTTCAAGTGAATTGAAGGGAGTTTCGCCCTGTGTCCTGGCCAACAATCCCCCAAATAAAAAAAAATACGGTCACTCAATCCATGACTGTTTTGTGTGCACAATTGGCTGCTGCGTTTCGCCTACAAAATGCATAGTCTGTCCTCTTTATAGTCTATTTATTCTGTGAAGCGCTTTGAGACGTCTTGATGATGTGACAGGGCGCAATATCAAACGCAAGGAGCATTATTATTATTTTGTCAGCAGCCAGTTTGCGCACGTCGTCGCCACAGCCACACAAGGTGAAGTCTGATTAATCCTGACTCTTGTGTTTTAGGCAGTTCCAGAAAAAACAAGACAGTCAAAGCCGGGAGCATGAGAAACAGCGCTGGGTAAGTGTGGCTCACATTGACCTCGGGCAGGGTTGGGGGAAGGGGTTTAGTGGGACACATAAGCTCAGACCCTGCTCTTCCTAAATGCCAGAAGCTTTCCTGTCGTCCCAGATTACAGAACACCCATAGGCCTAGCTACATTAGGGGCGGGTGGCCAGGATAACCCATCCACCCATGGCCTGGTCAGATTGTAGGCTGTTGTTGTCTAATTGGACCCACCCAACCTTTGACTAACCTTTTATTCTTTATATTCTAACAAAATACCTTAGGGTTCCCTTTTATGTTACCCGCTAATCTTTTCTCATACAATCCCTTTGCCCCTCTTATTTCCTGTTTCAGTCTCCTCTGTACTTTCTATATTCTATTTGATTATCTTCTATCCCAATGACTCTCCCATCCTCCTCACCACTATCTCGCAGATGAAGACCAACCAGTTGCTGGTCACCCAACTCCCCCTTCTCTCCCCGCTGCTGGCCGACACAGTCAACAGTCGCTCTCCTCAGGTTCTGTTCCTCTCCCCCATAAAACCGCTGCCTTCACTCCTCTCCTCAAAAAATCCACCCTTCATCCTTCCAACTTCACAAATTACCGACCCATTTCCAACCTGCCCTTCCTAGTGAAGCTCTGGAACATGTTGTCGCTAACCGGCTTTGCTCCCACCTCTCCCTCCTCGAGACCCTCCAGTGTAATTTCCGGCCTGTCCAAAGCACAGAGGTGTCTGTGTCTGTGTTTCCTGTTGGTGCCTGTGTTTCCCGTTTATAATGTTGTCGCTGTGGCTTCGCACCTTATCTTTCAGGAGGAACAGGAGAAGGAGCATCAGGCTATAATGAAGAAAGGCATCAAGAGAAGTGAATCCATTGAGAAGGCCACGGTAACAAGACTCTTCCTTTTTTTTCCCCCACCCCGACATTCCCCAACTCCGACCTCAGGCAGAGCGCTGTGTTTCTCTGTGCAGGGAGGTGGGTGGTGCTGTGTTACTATGTGTGTGTGTCAATGTTAATATAAATACCGAGGCGTGTTTATTCCTCTACAGGAGGCAGCATCTGTTATCTCCCAGAGATCATCGAATCCCAGGAACCTGTTCCAGGATCGGGAACGGAGCAGGCCTGGAGACGCTTCACTTGCTGCCAACCATCAGCCAGGTAACGAGAGCAAGACCTGGGGGAGAGGGAGAGGGGAGAACGAGCTCAGCTCAGCAGTGAGCACCTGAGCTGTCTGTAAATGTCTAGGATCTGCTGCTCTTGTGGGTGACAGTATGTGAGGTGTTGAGAAGTCTCCCTCGATCGGCTGTGGGTGACGGCCTCCGACACTGGCTTCCCCTGGTGCTGAGGGCTTTCGTGGTGGCGATTCATACTTCGTGTTAACAGTAATAATCCTTGCATTTGATATAGTGCATTGTCCCATCGTCGAGACGTCACTAAGCTCTTCCCAGGATATATACCGTAAAGTGGTACGTGCGAGCATGCGTTTTGCGGCTGACGTTAAAGGGTTCACGTAGCAACGCTCAGGGTGTCTGTTCATTGCTCATGTCACAGCCGGCTTCAGTGTTACCAGAATAGTGCTCTGTGGGCGTGAGCGTGGGCTTCTGCACTGGCTGTGGATGTGCGAGCCTGCCTCTGGGAGGGAGAGTCTGGCTTTACGCCGTTTGTAATTATAAATAGCAAACCAGAAGCAGAAGCGTGAGATTGGGTTGCAGTTCGCACATCGTGCGGCCGGCACTTTTCAGGAAGATGGGCCGGCAAATCGGCAGCATCGGGGACCGTCAATGTATCTTGCTGCCTGCCTGTGTGTGTGTTGCTGCCTGCCTGTGTGTGTGTGTTGCTGCCTGTCTGTGTGTGTGTGTATGTGTTGCTGCCTGCCTGTGTGTGTGTGTGTTGCTGCCTGCCTGTGTGTGTGTGTTGCTGCCTGCCTGTGTGTGTGTGTGTGTGTTGCTGCCTGCCTGCCTGTGTGTGTATGTGTTGCTGCCTGCCTGCCTATGTGTGTTGCTGCCTGCCAGTGTGTATGGCTGCCTGCCTGTGCGTGCATGTGTTGCTGCCTGCCTGTATGTGTGTGTTTTGCTGCCTGCCTGCGTGAGCGCGTGTGTTGCTACATGAGTGAGTGTGCGTGCGTTGCCTGTGTGTGTGTGTGTGCGTGTGCGTGCACGTGTGTTGCTGCCTGTGTGTTGCTTGCCATGTTTTATCATTGCTTTTCCTGCCAGGGAAGCTGAGGAGCCCATTCCTGCAGTCACAGCTCAGCCAGCCCGAGCCCCCTCCCTCTCCGCCCCGCAAGGCTGTGCAGCCAGAGGCTAAAGGTTGGCAAGTCCTCGTGTGGGGCGAGTGCATGCTGTGGTTGTGGGCTGTGGTTTGGGGGCCGTCGAGCTTGTAATTCACCGCCCGCAAAATTTCATTGGGGGGCGGTGGTGGGGAGGGGGAAGTATCCCCAAAAGTAATTTCAATCTCGGTCAACAGCGGCAGAGAGGCCCGAGGTACAGGAGGATCCTCAGCCACAAGCCGAGGTGACGGGTAAGTCACAATCCCGCCCGTATTCACAATAATAATAATAATAATCCTCGTGCCTTCTCACGGCTTCAAGCCCCTCACAGGAGTTTACTGTGAAGTGTAGTGACTCTGCGCACAGTGCAGACTGTGTGTACCGCGCGCACCCAGCCTCTAAACACACCAGCCTCGTCATCGCTGGGAGCTCCCTCAATCAGACAGCATAACCATCACTCCCCTCCTCCCCCAGACACACATTCCACCCCCCCCCAGCACACCAACCTCCACACCACCTGCGCAAAGCCTCCCCCCCCACCTCTTGAACACCATTTGCTGTTTTCTCTCCCGCAGATGAGAAGGACGGAGACGAGGATGATCACAACTGGAAGTTGCACCATTCCGAAACGCTGGAGCACGAGGACCTGTACCAGGAACCACAGGAGGATATTTATCAGGATCCTGAGCAGGGATGTGAAGATCCGTCAACAGTAAGTGACTGTCAGCTCAGGGTCTCTATATGTCGTCGTCCCCCCACTTCCACCAGCGCTGTGTTCCTGTAGCCGACGGCATCTTTCAGACAGTGAGAGGAATTGACAGGTTACTTACTGAATCTCACACG